TCAAGTTTAGGGAGGACTTATTCAACTTAACAGAAATAAGCCTAAAACAAGAGACTCTGACCCTAACGGCTAGGAAGCTCCAATAGTTTTATCATCCTCCCTTAAACTGAATGCCATTGTCATTCAGTTTATACCTGGATATTCACATACACCCAGTAAGCCTCACATCCTCAGAAAAGCATCAAGCTTTAACGGCTTTGTTAGAACATCTGCAACTTGTTGTTGTGTAGAACAATGAATTAGCTCCAAAATGCCATCCCTTACAAGATCTCGAAGGAAATGGAATCTTACATCTATGTGCTTACTCCGACCATGCATCACAGGATTCTTTGAGAGTTTAATCGCTGAAATATTATCACAAAACACCACCGTTGGACTACTTTGCTCTTGATTTAGAACTTCCAGAATTCTTCTTAACCATACGACCTGGCATGCACTTGATGTAGCAGCTATGAACTCAGCTTCGGTGGTGGAGAGAGTAACCATTGGTTGTTTCTTTGAAGACCAAGAGACAGCTCCCGAGCTCATTAGAAAAACATAGCCTGAGGTACTTTTCCTGTCATCCTGATCGCCAGCATAGTCACTGTCCGTGTACCCTACGAGTTCTTCACTTCCTTCCTTCTTGTAGAACACCCCAAAACTAACCGTTCCTTTTATATACCTCAAAGCTCTTTTTGCTGCCAGTAAGTGAGACTCAGTAGGATGCTCCATGTACCTACTGATCAAACTAACAATAAACATCAAATCGGGGCGTGTGGCAGTCAAATACATAAGACTTCCCACCATTTGCTTGTAAACAGTACTATCAACTTCCACTCCCCCTTCATCTTTCGTGAGCTTGAAGCCAGGAACCACTGGATTATGTACTGGGTTACACTGACCCATATTGAACCTTTCCAGGACCTCTTGAGCATACTTCCGTTGAGTGATGAAGATACCATCTGCCTTTTGTAATACTTCAATGCCAAGGAAATATCTCATTCTTCCAAGATCAGTCATGTCGAACTCAATCTTCATGGACTTCTTAAATTGTTCGAACATCACTTCATCATTGCCAGTAAAAATAAGGTCATCAACGTAAAGGCACACAATTAAAATTTTACCTCCAGCTGCAGTTTTAATGAATAAAGTATGCTCATAAGGGCATTTGGTGAAGCCTTCTTTGATGAAATATGCCTCAATGCGACTATACCAGGCTCGGGGAGCCTGTTTGAGTCCATACAATGCTTTTTTTAGTCGATAAACCTTAGATTCATGCCCCTTCTGTTCATATCCTGGAGGCTGCTCAATGAAGACTTCCTCAGTAATTTCCCCATGCAGAAAAGCCGACTTGACATCAAGTTGGTAGATCACCCAAGCTTTCTGTGCAGCGAGGGATATAACAATTCGTATAGTGTCCAAACGAGCCACTGGTGCGAATACTTCAGCGTAATCAATTCCATGTTGCTGACAATACCCCTTGGCAACTAGCCGAGCCTTATACCTGTCCACTACTCCATTTTCGTTGTATTTTGTCTTAAAGATCCACTTTACTCCTATGGTTTTTCCTCCCGATGGCAGCACTGTTAATTCCCATGTGTCGTTCTTCTCAATAGCTTGTATTTCTTGATCCATGGCTTTCCTCCATTTCTCGGACTTCACAGCTTCTGTGAATGTTATGGGATCCCCATCAGTGAACAAGGCTAAATGTGCCTGGTTATGGGTTTCTTCATCTGAGAGGCCTTGTCCAGTTTCATAGTCCTGCATCCACACTGGTGGTCTCCGAGCTCGTATTTCACAAGGTGAGTTTTCTTCATTTGAAATGTTACCTCCTTCAGACTCGGGTTCAGTTTCTCCAGATTCTTCATTGGTTTCAGACTCTTCTCCATCTCCCTCGTCTTCCACTTCTGCTTCTTCTTCAGTCTCCCATTCGAGCTCAGCAAATATGGCTTGTTTGTGACCATCATCCCAGTTCCATTGCTGATCTTCTTCAAATACCACATCTCGGCTAACAATTATTTTATTTGAAAGTGGATCAAATAATCTATAAGCCTTGGATTCCTCACTTACCCCCAATAGTATGCATTTGAAACTCTTGGCATCAAGTTTTACCCTCTTGTTGTCAGGTACATGGACGTGAGAAATGCATCCAAAAACTCGAAAATAGTCCACTGATGGCTTGTGCCCATTCCACGCTTCTTCAGGTGTTTTGTTCTTCACAGCAAGAGTTGGACATCGATTTAAAACATGCACCGTCCAATTCACTGCTTCAGGCCAAAAGGTCTTAGGGATTTGCTTTGCTGTCAACATGCTTCGCACCATATTCATAATGGTACGGTTCTTCCTTTCCGCGACACCGTTCTGTTGGGGTGTATAGGCAGCTGTCAATTGTCTATGAATTCCATGCTCATTGCAGAAGTTGGTAAAATCCTGTGATGTAAATTCTCCCCCACGATCTGTTCTAAGGCTCCGTATGTATGTTCCAGTTTCCTTCTCAACTCTGGCTTTGTAAGATTTGAATGTGGAAAAAGCTTCTGACTTCTCCACCAAGAAGTATACCCAAGTCTTTCTGCTGAAGTCATCGATGAAGGTGATAAGATACCGTTTTTTGCCATTTGAAATAGGTTTGATTGGCCCACATATGTCAGCATGCACCAACTGAAGAATGTTGGAGGCTCTCCACATGCTTTCTTTAGGAAATGGATCACGGTGCTGTCTTCCCACCAGGCAGTTTTCACACACCTTTTGAGAGGCTTTAAACTGAGGTAACCCTGCCACCATGTTCTTTTGTTGAAGCACTTTGAGCCCATTCCAGCTGAGATGTCCATATCGGCAGTGCCAAAGGTCTGCTTGATCTGTGATCAGTGAGGAGAAGCATTGCTGTTCCTTTGGTGCGCAACGAGCAAGCACAGAAAACATTCTATTGTGTGTCATCTCTGTTTCCATGATTAAACCTTTCTCACTGTGAAAGATTTTGCATTTTCCATGTTGGATAAGTACTGCCAGCCCCTTTTCCTGCAATTGACCGATGCTCAACAGGTTGTTTTTCAGGTCTGGTACGTAGAAGACTTCTGTGATTACATGCACAAACCCATTTACCTCCATTCGTATCTTACCCTTGCCTTGTACGCTAATACTCGAGTCATTGCCAAGCTTCACCGATTCTCGAAAGCTGCTATCAAGATCAACAAACATGTTTTTTTTTCCACACATATGGTTACTACACCCAGAGTCAAGAAACCAAATGTGCTCCGTTGCAGTCTCGTTGGAATTTACAAGAGCCATCAACAACATCTCCTCCTTTGTTTCAGCATAATTCGCTTTTTGTTCCTTGTCTTGCTTAGGACATTCCCATTGAAAGTGCCCTAGTTCATGACAATTGTAGCACTTTACGATAGATTTGTCGAACCCAAACCTACCCCTTCCTCTTCCTCGTCCTCGGTAAGTGCCTCTGCCTGCACCTCTTCTTCCTTGCTGGGAACCATGAGTGATCTGAAGTGCTTGTTCATCGTTCACATGTCGGCTGATTCGCTGTTCATGCACCAAGAGGCTGCTCTGAAGCTCGTCTATGGACATTTTGTCCAGGTCATTGGATTCCTTAATGGAGCAAACAACGTAATCATATTTTGAAGTCATAGACCTCAATATCTTTTCAACGATTACCACATCATCCATTCGCTCCCCATGCGTTCGCATCTTGTTAGCTATGGTGAGAGTTCTGCCAAAATAATCATTAACCGACTCTGCAACATTCATATGCAACACTTCGAACTCCTTGCGAAGAGCTTGCAATTGAGCTCGCTTGACACGTGCAGTTCCTTGATACTTTTGCTTCAAAGAATCTCATATATCTTTCGCCGTATCCTTCTTCAAAATGGTCTCCAGTATCGAACGATCAATGGCTTGGAACAAATAGTTCTTGGCCTTGAGATCTTTCAACTTCTGATCTTCATAGGTCTTCCTTTGTGTCTCACTAAGATCTGATCCTTCTGCTGCAGCAGTGATCCCTGTCTCTATTAAGTTCCAATACTCTTTGGAACGCAGAAAATTCTCCATCAGCATACTCCAATGGTCATAGTGACCATCAAACCTTGGAATGGCAGGTTGCACGAAGCTATTCTCGGATGCCATGTCTCTGGTTCTTCACTCTAATATCTGAGTCACAAGTTTTGATCAGACCTCGTGAGGAGGCTCTGATACCAGATGTTAAAATCAGAGAGATAACAGAGAGCTTTGCAAAGTCTGATTGCACGAAAGTTGGGAGAATGCTTAATTAACTTAACAACTATTCTGGCTAATAAATAGCCTTACAATAAGATAGAAAGGAAAAATAACCACCCACGACTTTATAGGTCTTATAATCGTGGTGCATGACTACATTAAACAGAAAGTAATCTTGTTCCTCAAGTTTAGGGAGGACTTATTCAACTTAACAGAAATAAGCCTAAAACAAGAGACTTTGACCCAAACAAGAGACTCTGACCCTAACGGCTAGGAAGCTCCAATAGTTTTATCAGTTCGATCCCAAATTCCAAACACAAAAACCCCGCCATTTCTTTTCTCGGCTAGGGTTTCAAATTTCAATAGTCCCATAGACAACATCGAGCTCGAATCTCTCACTTTCTCTACCAAATTTAAACAGTACTCTTTTGAACTCTCTGATTCGAAGAATGAATTCTCTCACCGATTAAGTACTCATCAACAGCCCGATTGATCATGAAACACTCAGCCATGGCACATAGACGATCACCAAAATCATACAGAAGAACAAGAACAAGATCCATTTCTTTGATTCATCTATCACATGGAGTAGATATTGTCTGCGGACTTAGACGAAACAAAAAGGATTCAAACTGGCTGTGTTGAAGTTGGATCCGATCTCGGATTCTCAAGATTTGTATCGCTGATTCGAGTGATCTCTCTCAGATTTGAACAAGCTCTTGTTTACAATTTGATTAAATTGTGCAATTTTATATGGTTGATTGCTGATCTTTTTTATTTGTTAGAATATTAGGCTTGGAATGCGCAGCATCGGAGTGAAGTTCCGAAGATTACACGGAGTGAAGCAGAAGAGACTGAAGCTTCCGCGCACCGTTATAGTTGACTCCATTTACGAGGAAATTTTTTTGTGGCTAAGCAGCGTTATTGAAGCTGTTATTGGTGATGCTCTTGTTCTTCCAGGTATCAGAGAATTGCCTTAATTTTGGGTGAATTTTCATTTTGTTTATTACGAGTTGATCTCACAGATTGGACTACTTTTACTTGAGGTAGACATTATTTATGTTATTCTGTAAAATCTACCTCAATTTCTTCTCTCCTTAAACCTGTTGGTGGAGATGTATATTTTATGGTAAAGTAGTGCCTCTATTCTGCGAAATGCAAGAATTGAGACATTTAAAGCACAGAATGGTGGTCTCAGGGACAAGTATCTCTATGTAATTAGGTTTGGGGGAAAGGTGTGGTAGGTTGGGGGGGGGGGGGGGGGAAGAGGTTGTAGCTCTAATGGAAACAACTATAATTCATTAACTTGAAGTTGTAATAATGTGAGATTATATCAGAGTTGTACTGCTTCAAGTCCTGCAACATGTCATGATGGATTTAGTCCTTTGTCCCGAAGTAATAAATCATCTTGCTCTATGTTATGCTTTGGATTATATCTTGTTTTAACACATAATTGCCTGCCCATTTTCACTACTCCTGAGATTGTTAGAAAATCAGTCAGTTGAATTGAAGTTACTGATAGGCTTTGTGTGGTTTCAACTCTAGCTGCTCACAAACCCTATACGCTTCACTAGCTCACAGCTTCTCTCTAAAGCTGGCCTTATTGTATAATTGTCTTTTGAATTTTGTAATTTGTAATGTTTGAGGTGTTGTATGTTGCATAGTAAGAATAAAATGTTGTAGGCTTAGCTGGGCTAAGCCTTCAATCAACTCATTTCATTGTTACATCAGCAAACTTATTGTCTTGTGAATGCACGATTCATAGCACTGGTGAATCCTTTGACAAATCAGCATGGTGTTCTCATGATTAATCCAGCTCACTCCACTTGTCATCTTGGGAAAGCACGAAGGGGTTGATAAATTGGATGAAGGGTGTTGCTTGCTATAATAAATGCACTTTCAAGTTACAACAACAATCACTTAAGCAACAAGAAGGCAGATATCCCAAATTTTGTTCTAAATCAGTTTGTTAGAGCAGTACTGTTAGAGTCGTAGATTGTGTCTAAAATTGTCATACTTAGAATTAATTATTTTGACGAGGAATTGTAGGAAATTCGCAAGACCGGTTCAAAACATGAAAATCTTCTAGTTCCTTGGATTTTGCTTTGGTGCTTTTACTTTTTAGCCAAATTCCACCGATTGGGCCACTGTTTTCGTAGTTATCTTTATTTCAGAGCTCTTTTCCTACTTTTTCTTTGGAATCAGCATTTTATTGGAATTCTAAGGTTTTAGTACTCGAATCATTAGCATTCCCATTCTTGGTTAAATTAAACTCTCATTTTTCATTTGAAATAAGTCTATGTAATTGCAGACAGAACATTTGCATAATATTATTAGCTAATGTGCCTGAATTTTTCTGCAAGTATGGCTTGTACAAGGATTACGTAGCCGGTCCTAAGTAGTTGAGATAAAAGCTTTGTTAAGTTGCCACTTAATAACCATATGTAGTCACTGTCCCGCATGGACTTTTATTCCAAAGGGCACTGAACTGCAAATGGTCTCTTCATCACAGAAACATTAGATCATAGATTTTAATCATAAATAACTGTCAAAAACAGTGGGTTGCTGCAAATGAGGTGTCTGGGGCTTAACTGAATATCAACCTTTGTGCCTTAAGAATAATATGCATTAGGCTCACGTGAACAACACATATTCTGTTCAGGACAGTAATTTAACTATTACTAATTCTTGAATTTTCTACGAGGCAAACCTTTGTTAAAAGTTTGCCTTCTGTCTGGGGAATCTGATATGCTTATCAGATTAGATTATAGCTCTACAAATCGGAAGAATCGGTTTTTCTTCACTCGTTCATCTTCTAGTAAAATAAGTTTCTCTGACCAGACTCACCACCAAGTCACTTTAGATTCCTATCATTGTCGCTGGTTATGTTAAACTTTACAGAATTGCTTAATTTATATCGTTACTTTAATCTGAAGTTTTCCTTATCCTGAACTAATCATATGGAACATCAATACAATACACCGAAATCTCTTGTATTTGATCAATCATCAACCAGGTATGTTTTCATTTTTCTGCTCTTTATTTTTTTCTCATTTTCTTGTTCTGTTTTGTTTGTTGTTTCCCCTTGATTATTCCTTCTTGGTAAATTCGGACGAGCCATGACATTGTAGGAGGCTGATTACTAGTTAGAGGTCCAGTCCTTTAAGATTTGTTTTGAATGTTTCATAAGAATACTTCGAAGTTATATTGCATCATGAGGTCTCATCGATGTAGCTTCTTTGGCAAGGAATTGCTATTGTTTTCTTGGAAATTGCTTTCTTCTAATCATTCTTTTCCAATTTTCAAAATTCCAACATGCATATGCTATTGAAAAAAATAAAGATACGAATTTTTCTTTACAATAAGTATGTTCATGAATTTTATAATATTCCAGATTTTCTTTTCGTTATAAAAAGATGATGTCTTATTCTCATTCCGCCTTTCCACATTTATACATCATGATCTACATAAGGATAGCATTACGGTACTGAAAAAAAATGGGTACCATATTGACCGTTATTATTTGAAATGGTTAAGTTATATTTTTTTAAAGTGAAATTATAACTGATTGACATTATGATCAAATATCAATTATGAATAATTGTAATTAGTGGCGATTTACTTTTATAATGTGTAGTTTTTATGATCAATCATAACATTTTAAAAAATAAACATGCCCTTTAGAGTTATCAAAAGTTGTAACGAAATCATTATTATACTTTCTTTGGTGGTACCATAGTTGTCCTCTTTATATAAAAGAATATCTCTAGAAAAAAAATGGATGGGTGGAAGAGATGTAGGAAGCAAATCTAGGGATTATAGCGATCTAAAAGGGATTGAATGAGCTTAAATTTAATAATTGAATTTTATTATTTGTTTTAGGATTATTTTATTAGTTAGGAAATATTTATTTGATTAAGAGTATTAATTAAAGTTTAATTAGAAAATTATTGTAGAATTTTAGTATAATAAGAATTTGAGAGTTAATTATGAAACTCTTTTTAGTATTTTAGTAGAAGAGTAGTTTTTATTTTAATAAGGGACTTGACTTATATATATTTGTATAATCTCAATTATTTTTATTAGAGAGAGTGACCTAATAAAAAGTGATTCTCAATTTGTGTGTTTTTTATTGCGAGAATGAGTTAAATTCTTTTCACTCCTTTTTTTTATTTTTTATTTTTTTTATTTTGTAATTTTTAATCCTTCCCGTCTTACATTAGTTTTGTATCAGAGTAAATTTTTAATTCATTAATCACACTTTGTTGCCCTAGTCTCTACCTACTGTTACTGTTATGTAGTCTTTCAAGTCATTAGATACTCTTTCGATAAATAGCTTGCTACATCAGTTTGCTACTAGAGTAAAACTTTGATTCTTTAATCACATTTTGCAGCCCTAGTCTCTACCTACTACTATTAGTGTTCTGTAGCCTTTCAAGTCATTAGATTTTCTTTCAACAAATATCTTGTTGGATTTCATCAAAAAAAAAATCATTGCCTGACCGAGGAATTGAACCAACACCATTGCAATTTCACAAACACCCTCCAAGACTTTTAAAATTATAGATTGGACCCTTGAAATTTCTAAAACTGCAAATTTGACCCTTGAAATTTCTGAAATTGTACTTTCATCTTTAAAATTTTAAAAATTATACTTTAGCCCCAAAATTTCTGAAATTACAATTTTTTCCCAGAATTTGGATCCTAAAATTTTTTACAACATTTCATGTTATTTTTTTAATCAAGATGGTTACTAATGCCAAATTACTTGTCAAATTTGAAGCCCGTGATGCTAAGCTCGATTTGCTCCAAGCATCAATGGGTTCACTCCACACATTAAAGAAATATATATATGAAAAGTATACACAAGTTGGCTGCCATGTTTGGAGTTAAGCTCCCAAATAAAGATCTTGCAAACAAGGTAGATTTTGATTCATCTTCTTCTTTCACAATTGCAAGCTCCAATTTAATTGAATGATGTTTGAAATTAGATATCATTGGTGAGCCTAAAATTCTCCTCATCATACATCAATTACTTTTGATAAGTCAATTTCAAAATATATTCTTACAGAAGAAGTTAACAGAATTTCAAAGGGTATCACTACAAATGGAGTTGTTATTTTGTCTCCACTAGATTATATGTTTCCTTCACTTATAATAGTGTACGTGGATAAGACTGTGATGGATGTAATACACGAAGGGATTATTTTTTACTATGGAGATCTATAATGCTATTTTCTTGGAACACAAGTGTCTTCAGATTTTTTTGGAGTACTTGTGGCCTTCTAACTCATTGGAGAGGAATTTTTTTCAGTCAGGGAGAATTGATAGAAATCAAAAAGAGATTGGATGAACTTAAATTTTAATAATTAAATTTTATTATTTATTTTAATATTATTTTATTAGTTAGGAAATATTTATTTGACTAGGAAATATTATAAAATTTTAGTAGAACAAGAATTTGAACGTTAATTATAAAAAACTCTTAGTATTTTAGTAGGAGAGTGGTTTTTATTTTAGCAGGGGACTTAGCCAATAAATAATTATGTAATTTGAATTATTTTTATTAGAGAGAGTGATATAATAAAAA